TACGTAACTATTTTGACAAAATATTTTCACAACTGAACACAAAGTTACATAATTTAAGTCAAAATGTGAGATTTTTCATCCTAGGCCTAAGATTATATATCATGATATTTGTCCTATGCTTTGGTATCCGACACAAAAGTTTATACTTTAAAAATAATATCGTCAGACAGACACACCTCCGCTTGCTTCATTCTGATTGGTCGGTATTTTTACGCGCACGTTTCCATAGTAACAGCTCGTATCCCGATGTGGCACACGTGGTTTTGTGTACACCTCTATCAATGAGCACACTTTAACTAGAGTAAATCGGTGAGTTTAAGATAGGTGGAACTTCATGGGAAAGACAACAGATCGGATCTATTAAGCAGAAAAGGAGTATTTAAAAAAGAGTTCTGTCGTTACAGTAGTCTCAGGGTCAACCAGGTCACAAGACGAACGTGACATGCATGGAGAATCGTCAGAGACATGACTAAAACCATAGGGGCTGCTTCTAGCAGACTCATACGCACGGGTGTACACACACACACACACACACACACACACACACACACACACACACACACACACACACACACACACACACAACACACACACACACACACACACACACACACACACACACACACACACACACACACACACACACACACACACACACACACACACACACCACTCACACTCACACACTTCACTCACTCACACACTTACCCACAAAGTCACACACACTCATTAACTCACTCACACAAAGTCACACACACAGATAAATAGATAGATAGATATTCGCACGCACACAGACAGTCACACACACAATCACACACACACTCATTAACTCACTCACTCACACAAACATTCACACGTACACAGACAGGCACACACATATACAAACGCGCGTGCGCGCACGCACAAACATACACACACTCTATCACTCTCACCTACTCACTCACTCACTCAATCAATCAATCACACACACACACACACATATACATACGCACATACATACACACACACCACACAAAGCCATACAAACATTCACACTCACACAGACAGTCACATACACACACCCACACTCAGACACACAAAGTCACACACACTCGTTGACTCACTCACAAAAGTCACACACTCATTAACTCACTCACTCACACAAACATCCACACTCACACAAAGTCCCACACTCATTAACTCACAACAAACATACTTATTCTCGCACACGCACTCACACTCACTTTCACACTCACTCAGTCCCTCACTGACTCATTCACTCATTCCTTTCCTCCTTCCTCACTCACACTCACTCACTCACTCTCCCACACACACACACACACACACACACACACACACACACACACACACACACACACACACACACACACACACACACACACACACACTCATATATATTATATATATATATATATATATATATACATATTCATATTTATATGTCATAATTTGATAGTCCGAAGATGAACACGTGCCGAAATTAGACCCAAGAGAGAGAGAGAGAGAGAGAGAGAGAGAGAGAGAGAGAGAGAGAGAGAGAGAGAGAGAGAGAGAGAGAGAGAGAGAGAGAGAGAGAGAGAGAGAGAGAGAGAGAGAGAGAGAGAGAGAGAGAGAGATAGAAAGAAATGGTGTGCACATATGATATAATTTGAGCACACTTATCCCTTCATCCATACCTTTATGCATTGGCCGGTTTGTTAAAATTGTGCGAACACTCATTGTACGGAAATACATATACACAGAATGCATATCTATCAGTCAAGACAAACGTATCTACCATATTGATAGATAAGTAAATGTTCATGTATAATAGATAGATAGATTATGCATAATTCTGTCCTGATACGAATATTCATTGGATCGGGCCTCGCACAGTTTTAACAAGCCGACCGATATCTCTACATTTTCCATATTCCTATCCATCTATGTACATTCTTTTTTTCTGTTTATCTATTTATTTATACCAATACAATTCTTTTTCCTATTTTAAATCAACTCCTTTATTTTCTGTGAAACTTGTACATTTATTTGTTTTCAGTTTGCAAGGTAGCAACAAAGATGATGATGTACTAACACATTTCCATGAAAGAGGAAGACACTGGCCTTGTTTGAGGATTTCATAATTCAACTTTATTCAACATGAAGTCTCCAGTACGCAGGTCTCTGAGGGGAACCTGCGCTCAATATACATCTCAGATTGTGAGAAATGTCAGATTACTTTAATTTGAGATCAATTTCGTGTGTTGAAGTATTTCACAAATAGAGATTTTATGAAGAAATAAGAAAATGGTAGCAAATGTGCAGTTCGTATATTGTGTACATCTACAGTATATCATGCATGTCCGAATCGCATAGTTAAATCATGGAAATTCATTTTCACAAATTATATTCATCATACAGATTTCGCCATCCAAAGGAAAATAAGTTTTGTAAAGAAAAAGATTTCAGAATTATTTATATGTGTGTTAAGAAAAAACGACAATGAAATTTGTGTGATGCTTTACAGGAGCAATGTCTGCCGAATGTTCGAACGCAGAACTGTCAACCTCAACAACAACAACATTGAAGAAACATCACAGACAGGCCCTTTTCCTCAGACTTTTTGTAAGTAGTAATTTTTTTACCTACATAATGTCGGTAGTATTGTCAAGGCCCTGTGAATGTTAGAGATTATGCTTCTAAATATTGATATGTTAGAGTTGTGTGACTTTTTAAAATATCATAATACATATTATGGCTTCAGCGATTTCTGTTCTCAGATAGGTTATGTCTGTTTCTTACTTCCTGGTTTATTGTAAATCTGATTTAATTCTGCGTTTCAGCTCATTTAAGAGCTATCGATTAGGGTATTATGAAGTGGCAGTTTTTGTGGTATAATGATATTAGTAATTTATTAGCATAAGTAATATAACATGTTAGAACATGACCATAACGAGAAATATGAGCATGCCATCTTGTAGATCATAATCTTAGGCACATTTCTTTTACTGTATATTCTTCTTAATTTATTAATGGTAACTAAAGGTTTGGAGAGCACTGATAATACCAGAGAAGTTGCAGAATAAACTTGGTACTGTTTTAAAAGGTCTACAACATTTTTAGAGATACTTTCATATTTCCATCTATCTCATCAAAACTAGTAACTTATTTTGTTATGCTATTGTGGAAGAATTCCAAAACTATAGATCCACAATTAAAGATAAGAGAATCTATCAGCTCTTCTTTGTTATATCATAATTGCCATCCATGTATTTGCTGGTAACCATAAAATGGTTTTAAAATGGTCCAGGGGGTTAAACTGCCCCTAGGTAATGTAATGTTGCATTGGATTGCATTGCACTGCACAAAACAACAGCTTTATTTACACTTTCTTTGAGAAACAATAGTTATAGGGAGATTGTAGGTGAATGAAATCACCTACAATTATCATTTAATGGTTATATGGACACCTGTTACAATTTTTTTTACTCTTTAGAATTGCAATTCCACAACCTTGCCTTGCCACCCAGCCACAGATAGGCATCAAATTATCATCTTTCATTATACAGTTTCTATCTTTGATGTTTGCAGAGAGAGAGATGGGGGGGGGGCAGAAGGGAAGAAGTGATAACAGATCCCCACTCCCATTGCCTCTGTGACCACTACACTTGACAAGCAGCTGAACTTGTATCTATATAAAAAAAGACTTGTAAATCAGAAGACAATTTTTGAAGTATAATATTACAGAAGGGGTACCAGGTGTATTTTGTTGTATCCAGGGAGTGTCCATGCCATATTATCTTTAACATTATGCATGCCATCTATTTTGTTAATTCTGATTTTATACTTACTATGTCTGTTCATAAGTAGAAAAGAGATGGGGCTGAAGGTAGGAGATATTTGTATGATTGGTTCAAGGAGACTTGGGGGTATGAAGGGAATGGAAAGATCTTAGAATAATAGTTACAAGAATTCTTATTTTATACTTATTGCATTCATTCACAAGTAGAAAAGAGGCAGAAACAAAGCCAGGATGTGCATGTAGATTGAAACGGGAGACAAAGAGTCACATGAGGATAAGGGAATGGGGATGGGTTTTAGGGGTTGTAGCTGAAAGAAATTTGTCAAACAGTACCAGAATTACACTCTCTGCTTCCCATTGACAGAGAAAAGCAGGAAGATAATATGCCAGTTTTTTAGAGGCTACATTCAATTAAGTATCCCCAAATTAGAGTTCCATTGAATCTTAAGAGGTGTCCATATATGGTTAATACCAGTTTGGATAATTATAAAAGTTATAAATGTGTGACTGCTATTGTTAATGGATAAATGAGTAACCCACTTCTTTCAGAGGGACTTCACAGTATGGACACAGATGATGATGTTTCAGCCCTGGAGGAGGAGGAGGTAGGGATATGGGACCCATCACCTGCACCTTCTCTAGGCCTCAGGCAGTCCCCTTCTTCCTCTCCTGACTCTGACTCCTCTTTGGAGATATCGTCTTCCTCAGATGAAGAAGGTCAGTAAAACAAGTAGTGACTAGAATTTTTAGATGATTAACATCCATAGCATTGTAACTGCATGATGTGAAAATGTTTGTAGGACTGTATTATGAAAATATTTTTGCTAGTATGACATTCTCGTAAGCTAATGTTTATAGAATTTATCAAAGGAATTAGTTTCTTATCATGTCACTAACCATAGATTAACTGATTTTTGCATGATATATGATATTTTCAATAAATTCTTAGAAAATGTTTTGTGCGCTGATATCTTGAATGTAAAGACTTGAGGAGCAGTTGTTTATTTTGAAGATAGATTGTGAAGCTGATATCTTGTTATAGAGAATCTTAGTTTATTAATTCCTTGTTACTAAAGTCTAGTGTATTTGTATTCTATTTTGTATGTTCACTTTCTAGAGAATTCATCTCCAACTATAGGCTCAGAGACTTCACCATTTGCCGTCCAAGAATGCAAGGAAGAGTACAAAAATGTTGTAAGATATGTTATTCAGTCAGCTCGGACACACACCACAGAGAAGGAAAAATATGTGGTGGGTATTTGAAGTTCATATTTAACACGTGGTGTCTGTTAGAGTAGTGTTACAACCATAGTACTAATTTCCTACTATACCTTTTTAATTTTTACATGTTTTACTTTATTAATGTCATATGCTAGTAACCTTATTTTAGTGTGAAATGTTAACTTTAAGAATTTGTGGAAACTTTCAACAAAATTAGGGAAAGGTTTGATACATTCAATCTGGATATGTATTGGAGGCAACACCCAATCTCGTAGAGTATTTATACAACTGGCAGGACTGTATCACAATCAATTATTGATAATATTTGACTCTTGATTTGAGAAATAATATGTTTTCTTTTCAAGTTTACAGTTTTCACCATTTGTATCTATATTTTTCATTCACAGTTGATTTCAGTACTGTTGTATATGGTTGGTATGTTTGCATTATAGTCACATTTGCAATTTCTGATGGCAATTCTGTTCTACGTTGAACAGTCAATGAAAGAATTTGACTCATAATTTGAGTAATTGTATTTGTTTCTTCTCATGTTTACATTTTCATCACTTCATAATTGCTTTTATCATACACCTTTAATCTCATAAAAGGTACATGTTTAGATTGTATGGTTTCCTGTTTATGCAGAAACAAGATTTAGCACTTAGTCTTTCATCACTAGTCACATGGTTAGTTTACCAATGAATGTCATCAGTGGATGAGGAGAGAATGAATCATATACAGTTGCAGATTCTTTCATTTGGAAAATTGCCATGTCTTTACCAGTGTCTTATCTTTATTTTTTCAATGACAGGTAATCTTATTAAAAGCAGTGTTATATTCTCAAACTAACTTCAAACTTGTGTACTTATAATTGCTCACATTTTATAATATTATTAGTTGTTATCAATTTGTGGGTTAAATGTCAAGTGAGGATGTGTTGTATGGCAATGTGTTTGCTGTTTGTCTATAGTGCTACGAAAGTAGGCATTGCCTCCATCACGTGAGAGTAATGGTCAAGGAGGGGAGGTAAATTCATTCCACCAAAGATCAAAGAAAGTGACTTATTAATCCTTCCTAACACTGGAAATTTTAAGATGAGTTGGATTGGAAGTTTAGGATGGCATCTCAGTTGGACAAGTCTGAAGTCACTGAGTTTAGATAGTTCTTTTTTTTCTTCTTCTTCTTCTTCTTTTTCATCTTTTGAACACCTAGAATTACCTATATGCATTTGCTAAGGTAAGGAAGCTGTTTAAAGAATACCTAAACTCCATTTTAGATGTACAACCTATTTCATTTTAATTATTCTAAAATTCATCATGTTACTTGGGAATATTTTCTGCATATCAGTAATCTCATGAGCTGAGTATTAACCTTTTGTACACTGGTACATGTTATATCCACTGTAGTATTTTTTATGAAGTTTGTTGCACACTTGGTTCACAAATATTCAGCCACCAAGAAATCAGTCAGTAATCCAGTTTGACCTCACCTGAAATCTCTATTCCTTATTTTTTTTCTTCTTCTTCTTCTTCTTCTTCTTCTTCCCTAATGCTGTTAATGTTGATAATGTTATTACACTGACTCTTATAATGTTGTTAAGATGTTATTAGCATGGTGACTTAGTAGCTATGGAGCTATCTACATAGATAAACTAGTCACATTGAATGTGGCATGTATGTCATGCTATCCCAGCACAAAGGGTTAAAAAAAAACATCTTTATTCAAGTCACAGTGTAGTCACTGAGATATGTAATCATATGTTAGCAAGGGTATTTAGTAAAGTTGTACTTGTTAGCTTTGATTCTTTCTGGTTAATACACAGAAGGGCCTAAACTCTGTTGCTGCCATAAACATAGCAGTGTGGACTACATGTTTTAATACCATCGTCTGCACAATAGAGGAACTACATAAATGTGATTTGACTAAGTTAATAGAGGGCTGACATATGCTCTAGGCAAAGTGGTTATTCCCGGCATGGCTTGACATAAAGGTTTCTATTAAGAAAAACAATTTTCACAGTATGAATATTAATAAAGTAGATGATTTATTACAGCATGTTACACACCACACACTCCAACTTTGCTAGTTCTTGAGCTACAGCATTACAGAGTCAGCCTCAACCCTCAATTTCTGATAGTTTTATAGGAAAAAAGAAATTACCATGTTCAGAATCAAAGACAAGGGGGGGAAACTTTGTTCCTGCACTTTTAAGGCCTGGCTCATGTGGGTGACCTTGAGATTAACCCCTGTGCAGTGGCCAATGTGCTCTGATTACTTCCCAGAATCATTGAATTGATACCCTATGTCCACTATGGTATAAAAAAACTGACTTATCTAACAGAGATAATACAACAGTTTTTAAATGCATATTATGCATGGATTTGTTGTACATTTCTATATGATGAGTACTATTTATAGATTTGCAGTTTGGGAAGTTGAAATTAGCATCAGTTCTTAATAATCTCTTAATACTGAATTTTGAAAAAATGAGTCCTTGTGCTCTTTAGGTAAATGCATGCACCATGGGGTATAGTATACACTTACGTTGACAAGCACTGCTAGTTAACCTGATATAAACCTTGCATTTTAAAAAGTGGACAACAGCAGGGGGAGCCACATTATTCTGAGGAAAGCTTCTAGCCCACCATCCTGTAACTTTCATCATTATACATCTGTCTCTCTCTTATTCACAGCATGTTTGTCTAGCTTCATTAGTATTTATGACAAATAGCCTTTCTCATTGTCAGTTTGCTTCATGAAAGATAGAGTCAGACCCGACTATCGGATTGTCAAATGTCATATATGAAGGGTGTATTCACATTTGCTCTTAAGACCTTTAATTATCAGGCAAGCTTATAATAATATGTTTTTGAACAAATACTATATTTTATTTTTTATTAATCAGTCAAGATTGTTGAATTAGTTTTTTCAGAGCTGACAATTCTGTCTTGTGTTTTGACTCACCTGACCTTAATCTAAGTGAATGATTGTTTATTTCTATAAAAATTAGGTAGATGGAAAAATTTCACTGGAGGTAGTTCATAAAAAAAATCAGATTGCCTCAAAGCAGATATGGATATACATATATAGGTAGTTAGATAGATATGTGTGTGTGTGTGTGTGTGTGTGTGTGTGTGTGTGTGTGTGTGTGTGTGGTGTGTGTGTGTGTGTGTGTGTGTGTGTGTGTGTGTGTGTGTGTGTGTGTGTGTGTGTGTACACATTGAATAGGCCTACATATGTATGTATATGTATGTATTTCATAGACCTAAATATATATATATATATATATATATTATATATATATATATATATATATATATATATATATATATTTACATACAGAGGTCTACATACAATATACATGCATATACTGTATGGGACATGTATATGAGTAAAATGAATATTCTTTGTTAATATACAGTCTATTTGGATGCGAGTCCTTAATATATGCTAAAGACCTCCCGAAACCTTTCCCGAATAATATGTGGTTAAAAATAGTTGGGAAAGCTAATCAGGATTTTTATGAATAACAAGGTGTTATTGACAAACTTGAAAGTTGAATGTGAAGCAACTGTGAATTCAGATGAAAATGTGATATTTTATTATTTTCTCATAGAAATAACCATTTTCCCCCCCTCATCTGGTTGGATACAGTTTAAATGTATCCAACCAGAAAAAGCATTTAAAAAAGATGTTAGATTCATCCAGATTTAGAATAACTCCAAAAGTATAGGCAAAAATATGAAAGATTAGGCTGTTTTTGTTAGGCATGAAGAGGAAAGTGTGTAAGGAGACTTATAGAAAGTAAGGCCCTCTCGTGAAACAAAAGATATAATGTACCATACCAGCAAGTTTCTTCTCTGTCTTATGTAGAATAAGAAAAATATTTGTTTGAAGTCAAGTGTAGATAATTCATATTAGTAATAATTAGACAATGATGAAATTTCACTTATTCATGTTCATCATAATTTTTAGTCTGCTTTGAGATAAATACTTATGGTTTTCCTAAATGTCATGTGATATCATATTTGCTCTCCACTGTAGTATTGTTTTGTCAGTTTTGTTTGCAAATGGATGGCTCCACATGTATTTAGTCAGTAAGTAGTCAGTTACATGGCCTGGGCTATTTGTCCCATTTCTTGAATGTTTAGGGAGAAAAGTTTTTACTTCTGTTAGTATTATTACTAATACTAATATTGTTATTGGTGTCAACATCATTATCATCATAATGCTATCAACTGGAAAATGAGGGGAAAAATGATAAAAAGTAGTTTTGATAGTGGACCAGCCTACAGGCCACACACCTAGGAGACTCATAACTCAAGTAAGCCTTATGCCCAGAATTTGGTCCACGTTCAGGCTGCAAGGCACCCAGAGCCAACTTTTTTCTTCTTCTTCTTCTTTTTCTTTTTTACATTATGATTATTATAACTTTATTAGAATACTAATAATGAAGAGAAAGTAAAAAAGCATCTTTCCAATAATCAAGGAAAAGGTTAAGCAGGAGAGTTAGGTAGGACAAAACATTAACTTCTTGATGATTAAGCACATGTTGATCCATCTGTGTGTAAAATTACATTGGAGATGGTATGTATGTTAGGCCATCCATGCAGTGTTAAAAAAAGAGGACAATTCATTACTTCATCTCTACCCCAGAGTTTCATTATGATTAAGATATATTTAATTTACGACATAGTTTACATTCAGAGAGAAATTAGCATGTCCATGTATTTTTTTTTATTATAATTAAATTGATCAAGAGCACTTTAGATAATGATGATGATGATGATGATGATGAGGCCAAGGATCATATGGTTAAGAAAGTTTTTTCTTCAGAATGTACACATGTTTTCATGTTTTTATAGTGTAATACTTAATTTTCCCCATTTTTGCAACAGCTGTACTGTGTGGAGGTCAGGAGATTCACTGTTTTGAAGAAGGGATTGCCACCTGCAGACACGCTGGGCTATTCTAACCATAAAACTCGCCACAAAAAATATGCATCATTTGAACGCCGCTACTCTGAGTTCCATGCCGTCTATAATGCCTTGATGGAAAGTCACAGGTCTTTAATGGAGGAGTTTGATGGATTCCCCAAAAAGGTCATAATAGGTAAATATGGCTTTGTAGCTTGAAACAGTAAAGTGTAGTATAAGAGTATATAAAAAATTATTGTGTAAATGAAATAAAGTGGGATTATTCTTTTCTTTGATTTTTTTTACATTGTAACACATGTATGTGAATGTTTTATTTTAAGATTATTTCTGTAGGAGGCAGATTGCATAATTTTTTTTCTCTTTCTCTCTCGTTTTCTCTCAGGAAACTTCAGTCAAGAAGTGATTGCTGAACGCTGTAAAGGTCTTGCACGATTCATGAATTTTGTTCATGAACAAGAGGTATTGAGACGTACTGCTGTGTTCACCAAATTTCTACATGAATCAGAAGTGAAGATCAGTGATCATTATTTACTTTTATCTCAGTTTGAGGAAGCATGTCCTGTGATAGAGAATACCTTTCTCTTGTTTTATATTCTCCACTGGGACACAGGCTCCCTTATCTGTAAACTTTGTCAGTTGATTGTGTGCTTTCATGCCCTGGGCAATTATGAAAAATCATATAAATATGCACAGATAGCTCTCCGGAAATTTGAGATGTTAGGGAACAACAAGATATGTAATGATCTTTATATGCCACTTCTCTGTTTCTGTAATAGTCTATGGAGGATTTTAGGGAAAGACAGGACTACCATAAAAACGAAAATTGAACAGGAACGTAAGGAGAGAAAGGAAGAGGGAGTCCCTAACTTGCTTGATATTCTGAGGGATGAGATAACAGTGAGATACCTTCATTGATGTATGGGGCTTCTCTGGAAATTATTAATGTTAGGGATGAACTAATCCAAATAAAGGTAACTCTTTATAACAACGTAGGTTTTGTAAGGAATAGCATACACCAGAATTTCATAAAGAAATTAAATTGTTGGGAATGGAATATTTTGCATTTAGTATGTGATATGGAAAAGAGGGAAAAAATTTATATTCTTTTTTTTTTTTTTTTACATGAACACTTCCCTCCCAATACCTTGCTCATTGTTGTAGTGGGAGGGCTTAAGAGACGGAGACTGAGGCCCAGTGTAGTGGAACACCCCTACCTTGGGCCTCAGCCCTTGCCTCAACTAATTTTGCTTGGTCCTTTCTTCTCCCCTTTCCTCTTCTGTATATTTTTCATCCCCTTCTATCTCATTCCTAAGGTGTGAGAGGCATGCTGAAAGGATGAAAGGCTTTGTGTCAGTTATGAATGGCCCCCAGGAGCCATGGGCATAGTATTCCCTTGGTTTATTGCCTAGCCCTTACCCCTTATGGGAACCCTGAGGGGTAGACAGTTTCTTTTCCCCATTTTATTCAGGCCAATAATGAAGATTCTTTACCCTTAATAGGAGCATTAAGGCTTGCATCTTCATCAACTAGCCTATCTAAATTTGATTTTGATGACTTTCCAACCCCTGCCCCTCCATTGACTACGGCTCCAACCAATGATACTAATACCCCCTCCTCGATGCTTACTGACAACTCTATCCATACCAAAACTCCTACCCAGGTTATTACTCAACCTCCAGAAAGTACCCCTTCCTCTCCATCTCTTACTGCACAGTCCTCTTCAATGCTTACCCCCTCTTCCCTTATTACTAGTCTTTGTCCTTATTGTCCTCCTCCCCACAGAACTACTCCACTCCACACCACCCCATCTTCCTCTCACCCTCGCTCTTCTACTGCCCCTACCTCTGTAAACCTTTTGAGTACTCTCTTTGACCCAGCCAAGTGGGATCGATTCATTGTGATTTCCCCCACAGCCACTTATTCTGAGAATACCCTTCTCTTTCAACAGTGCCTCCAAAACAAGCAGTCACTCCGATTGTTCACGCCCTGTCGCAATTACATCTGAATCTCAAGCTTGTGCACTAGCTACCCTAATTGACCTCACCGGCAAACCCATTCCTGCTGAATCTCACCCCTCTCTTAATACTTAGACTGGAACAGCTTCTATCCCCCCAAATGCTTGTCCTATGTAGAAGGACTGGTCAGACTGTGAAAATGACCTACCTACCTGCCTTGCTGATTATGATGTAGTGGCAGTACAGTATTACATTTTTCTTCCCAGAAGCCAGTGTAAGTCCCATGTCAATTTTGCCAAAATTAGCTTCCATAGACATGACCTGCCCCGTGAAGTTCATGTAGGTGGTTTGTCTTACCATATCCGACCATATCGACTCCTTCCTCATCAGTGTCAGAAATTTTGGCGTTTTGGCCACCCAGCCAAACACTGTCGCTCCATAGCCCACTGCCCTCTATGTGCCCAACCTATTCATGACCGTTCAAATTGCCCTGCTCAGTCACGTGCATGTGCCAATTGGAGCCCATGATGTATTTATAGAGCTGCCCTGTCTATAACGCAGTCCTCTGATTCAAACTAGGCCTCACTCTACATGAGGCCAGAGAAGAAGCATGATGACAAGGTTTTTCTCTCTCAACTTATTTCTAAACAGTCTTTCGCTCTGCCACCATCTTCCCAAGATAATCCTGCATCTCCCCCAGTATCTCTTCCCTCTACCCTAAGCCATCCTACCTCTACTCACCCGATCCCCCAGTCAAATTCGTTTTCCAGTCTAAATCCAGATACTCCAATCTCTGACACTTCCCCAATACCTACCTTGCCTCTTCACTTTACTTGTTGCACCAGGCAACCTAAACATTCCACTTCATACTCTCCTATTACATCCTCTTTAAGACCTTCCTCTTCTTCTACTCCTCAGATATCTGTCTCCTCTTCTCCTCCTCACAAGAGAACCTTTGTTTCTCAGTCCTCTTCCCTCTCCAAACTCACAAAAATTTAAAGATCCATCCTCCTCTCCTCTCATCCCTACCCCCCTTCGGCCACCTCACCATTCTCTACCATTCCTACCTGAATATTCACATGAATCCCTATCACAACAGTGTCCTTCTCCAGACCCCTCTCCTTCAGACTATTCTTCCTAATACTTAACCACTTTTTCATTCCCCCTTTCTCATCCCTCGGATTCTTCTCCTCCTACTTCTCCAACAGCCACCTCTGTTTTCCTTGAACAATATCCCTATTCCTTCCACAGTCACAGATACAATGCACTTCACTTAGTCACTCTACCCCCTTAACCTTTCCCTTTCCTGCTTTACTTCAGTCACTACCCTCGTTTCCCTTTTCACTACCATACTTTCCTATAACACTCAAATCTTTGGCATCTAACCCCCCCCCCCCACCAACTCTTCTCCTACTTTCCAACAGCCATCTCTGTTTTCACTCAATTGTCCTACCCCCTTAACCCTCCCCTTTCTACTAACCTCTGCTCTAGTTCATTTACTCCCCTCTTTTCCCTTTTCACTACCATACTATCCTATATTGCTCCCTTGTCACTACCATACTATCCTATAACGCTCTCTAATCTTTGACTTCAAACACACATTATTCTAATCTTTAACTCCTCTTTACTCTTTCTGACACAATGTGCTAGACATGACCTTTCATGTCTAGCACATTTATTTGTTTCAAACATTAAACATTTACATGAACACTTCTGATGTGACTGATTGAAAATGTTAATTTCAAATTTTGCTGATCGGGTATCAATCATTTTGTGTTAGAGTATCATAAAGGGAATGACAAAAATGTTGCTGTCTTTGTTGATAGGCCTTCAATGGAAGTAAATGTGCAATGATGTGTTAATGTTTTTTTTTTTTTTTTTTATTACATTACTATCGATACAGCATTGACTCTGGCATCTGTTTAGATTATCAAGTTTGCCAGACTAACAGCAGTAATATCATAATTGAATGATGCTCCTATAACCTCAGATTTTGCACTTAATGGAGCTCTAAAGCATCATAGACCAATTCTGACACTTAGAAGCCGAAAGTAGGGGTAGATGTAAGCAAAATAGGGTAGGAATTGCACAAAACCAATGGAGGTACAGTATAAAAAATTAAGTGAGCATGAACTACACTCTCTACTGCAACCTAATTTTGCAGTTCTGAGAAAGTCTGGTGTACATTCATAATTCTGTTTGGATCAAGGGGACCTTCTGGATTTTACTAATTGTTTTTATAAAAAAATATTTTTATACTAAGTCTACCTTTACCATTGAGTATCAATGTCATGTGACTAGTGGAACACCTTTTGGGTGAAAAGGGAAGAAAAGGTGTGGCAGGGATAAAAACAAACTGATTTAAGGGAGGAGCAATGAAATCAGTTTTACAGGTTAACTCAACTCATTTCCATAACTGAGTACCTGTTGTATGCTTCTTCCCAGAGCAGCTACTATACTAGCTTGTGGCTAAGTCAGCTTGTTCCTCGACCTGCCATTTCTCCAAGGCCAATAGCCAAAAACACCATTTCTTGGCTTGCAGCTGGAGAACTTCACTTATAACTTTAACAGCTCATATCTTAAAACAAAATTTTTATTAATCTTTGTTTTGTTATATTTTTTATTTATTTTTTAATATGCCATCTTTTAACCTTAGATATGCTTCCTCTGGAGCAGCCAATACTCTGGCTTGTTGCAGGGCTCATTTCTCTTCCTGAAAGGCTTGTCTTGCAGCTGTTTGTTTCAGCTTTTAATCTTCATATTCCAGGGTACTTTAAGAGCCATTTTATTGATAGGCCTTGAAACAAATGGTCCTGTGAGTGTCATTCATGTGCAAATTGAAAGCTCTTGAAAAGTTTTCTAAACCTACTTTTTTTTAATATTCTTTTTTTTCTACATTTTTTGCAATTAAAGACAAAAATGTAGAGTTAAAATCTAAGTATCTGAATTCCAAATAATGCCTGTGAGTTGCAGAAAAAAATTAAACTGAAATGTTTTAGTCTACAGAGCATTATTTTAGACCAATTTGTACCAAGTCAGAAAATTTACTGAATTATCATCAGTTCTGAGGTATTGGTTTATAGCTCTCGTAGTCCCTTATATGTGCCAAAAACTGAAATGAATGAAATCCACAAAAATATTTTAGAGTAAAAAGAAGTACCCTTTTCTGAAAGGTGCCTGACTCTCAGTTGCTGGAAGATTAGTGTTATAGTAATAAGCAAAGAATAGAATACCTATAAGTCTATTTCATTCTTGCAAAGAGTATTCAAATTGTTGTTAGACTTCCGGTGAACTGGAAAGTAGAAGCATGGATCCTATAGTCTGTCAAAAACTGGATTATGCAAGATAAAACATTGAGGCAAAGCTGACCTCCCATATTTGAGCCAGATGAAAATTATAAAATGACAGAGCAGAATTAAGAACATGATTGTTTGATCAAAGATTCATTAGAATTTTGCTTACTCAACCCTGAAGTGTAAGTGGCTTTTTTGTATATCTGGTCTAGAGGAGTTAAGGAAACAGCATTTCTATTCTAGAGCACTATTGAAATTGTACCATTCATACAATATACTCACTCAGTGTTTTATGTACCATGAAGTTGTGTTGTGTGTTATTACTACTTTTTGCCATGTTGCATATGATAATGCTTTAATTGTTTTAATGGATCTCATGAAATTTGCAGATATAATATATATGAGTAGAATACTCGAGAATGGGTTTGCTAAGATATATGTGTTCTGTTGATATTGTTTTGGAAATGTGTGTAAGTCTTAGTATATGTTAATTTCTTTAAAAGAATATAAATTATTTCAGTGTGCATTGTACTTAAATAGAAGTTATATACAGTTTCTTTTAAAAAGGTAACATATTTCACTGTATATTGTAGTTAAATAGGTTATATACTATTTTAAAGGCCTGCAGTTGAATTCTGCCAAGTGGATGTTAACTGATAATGTGTTGAATTTGTGTTTATTTGAAAATTTATGTTGACATTTTTTTATGACCAATTTGATGTGCATTAGATATCTTAATTGTTATGGGTTCTTTTCTTTACAGGTATATTGATATACTGTATACTTAGGAAAGTAAGCACTTATATTTAGAATTTAAAGATGTATGTGACAAGTATTACTGTTAAAGCCTTAAAGTTTTCAGTGCAAGAATTCAAGTAGCACATGTCTAATCCCAGAACTGACATCCAGCCCTTTTAGCTTGTTATGTAAACCTCGCAAAGAAGAGCAGATGAATGGCAGTCATTTGACACTGAAAATAGGATCTACAAGGAGTAAACCTAGCTTGAGACATAAGATATTACCACAGGTTTACATTGTCTAGCACATGGTAATGTGTAGTGAGAATGCTCATTTTTTCTCTCTCATAAAGTTATGATATTGTGTGATAATATTTTCAGGGAGTAACAGTTTAGGATAAAAATACATGAAGGTCAGATTGTCAACTAGAATGACAGTAAATGAAGGAAGCTCTTCACATGACTGGAAAAACTTCTTGCACTGATGATGAGTCAACATGAACTGACAAGAAGTAGAAAGTTGAAATTGCCATATTATAAGCTACTGTAATATTTTAAATGCTTTTATATTTTCCATTGATTGATGCATCATATAGAGATATGTGTTTACTTTGACCAAAGAATGTTAAAGAGAAATTCTACAAGTGCCATGAGCTTCAGCCAACTCCCGTCCTATGTACAGTAAGGTGTTACGACAGTTTAGGTAAAAATCATACTAGAGGGATGGTAAA